ACTGCTCAATTAAGACAATAACCCTGAGTGCCGAGTAAAGGTATAAATTTAGAGCCCTCTACCGACAAGTGGTGGCGTCTCCATATTGAGTTAAATATTCTCAAGCGGAATGGTTAACAACCAACAAACAAACAATGTAACCTTATTTCACAGAACTTTGTATAAAAATATGGAATCTAAAATATGGTCTACTGTTTTGTAAGTCTAGATGCATTGTTCTTTTTTCAATGCATATTTGGTTTGTAAAATAAGGGTGAGGACCCTTTAAAATCAAAGTTTCTTCCATCATTGAAGACTTAATGGTACTGTTAGTATGCATCATTACATCATTCTTGGAAATTTTATTCAGGCCAGTTTAATAAGTGTAATTGAACTAGCCCCAATAAACATTTATCTGGCCAAATCATATAAGAAGTTACTGAACTTGTATTGGTGAGTATTGTTGGCTGTACAAAAGCACGAGCTTCTGAGTTTTTTGCTAAGGATCTGACTTCTTCAGAGGATCATTCTCAATAACCATAGCGCTGTCTGGACCAAAGCTGCATGGATGATACAACTAGAGGTGCAGTCATGCAGAGTAAGGCTAGCTTACACTTCCAGACATGCTACAGATGCTGTGTCTAACTTCATTTTGGAGCAGGTTTCTTCTCAAGAAAGAATACCTAAGCTTACTTGGACTTACCTTGCATGGATGATGTCTCTAGGGATGCACACTATCAGACTTAATGTAGATGCTGGTTCATGAGTAGAGCTTTGGAATATTGCTGGGTAACTTGTGAATACCAATTTCATTGTTCACAATACGAATCATGGTACATTTTTGTGAATATAATGGTTATAAATAATTAAAAAGTTGGATATTCTAACAAAAAATGTTACTACAGAGTTACTTGCCCTTGTTAAATAAATTATGAAATTATGGCAACAAACAATGCTACAGTAAATTGACAATAGCATTGAGATTATTAAAAATTCTTTTGGCATGTATAACAACCTCTGCTACCCACATGAACTGACACTGTGGCCAGGCATTGTTGATATCAACCAGAACACATATTTGCCTCGAGAAAAAAAAGAGAAGCTTTTTTGTCATGATTTAATATTGCAAAATATCATAATACAATTAATTCATCATTTATGTTACCCAATGAGATCTTCAGGTTTTGTCCACCATTATCCCTGTTTGCAAGGGAATTGGGACATTTTGATTTATTATGAGAAATTTTAAAGAACAGATGCTGATCATTATGCAGATTCTAGTCCAAATTTTTCTGTGCTTTTAGCTTGCAAATCAAGCAGCACTCTATGGCACTGTCACCTCTCTAAAATCAAGCAGCTGTCACACAGTATTTCATTGAGGTTTGCTTCAATATGTGGTCAAGGGAGTTTAATTCCTCATTTCTCCCCTAGATTGGGGTGTTTTGACAGGAAAAAGAGCTAGTAAGGAACATTGTAGCATTTGAATTGCACCAGATTTGTGAAGGCATGTGGCATGTTTGCTTTGTAGTACATGTATGCTATATTCAAGGAAATGGCTTTGTCCTATGGGTGACTTTTGAGCACGAAGTTGGGCTTCAGTGACAATGAACTTGTGTGCCTTTCTGAATAGTGTGTATTTTTGGAACCTTAATGTTTAGAAAGCATGCTTTTACAAGGTCTTACAAGAAAGCTCTCCAGAACTGAGAAGTTTGTTATAAATGTGCATTATGAGTTACATCCTCTTGAAGCTTTTGACAACTCAGGTTGCATCATTACCTTTCAAATATAGCAAAATAAAGTAGAAATTGTTTTTTTAGAGAACTGCTTAATGGGTCTGTGAAGTCAAAATCTACTTGCCAATGGAACTTTTCATTGAAAAGTAAGAATTTAAAAGCTAGTTGACCATATTGATATGTAGCAATTCTTGGATAGTGGAATCTCTTCTTTGGGGATATAATCAAGCATTACAGTGGCAAACTTAAAGTGACTTTGGCATCCATGCACTTTTTCTTTGCAAGAAAAAGCATGTCTACATCAATATTACTTTTCTTTCTGATAAGTGATTTCAAAATGAGAAAATGTTCAATCCTATAACCTGTCAATATTACCCTGTTTACATTGAATTTAGATAGTCCTATCTAAAAAAAAATACATACAAATCAATTTTAGAATACCTGTTTAATTAAGGTATTCAATTGATTGTCCATGTACATTTGTTTGTGTGAAATACACAAAATCGGGCATGATGTGGTAGTCCATTTAGTATGTAGATTCTTCTATGGTTTAAGCAACTGTAGTCATTAATGAAACCTTCTCTGCGAGAACTTTTTCTTTTCAATTAAACATGAGGAACTGTTTCCAGAAGAGATTTTTTGTCTCATCTTAATGCTTTAAGGAAGAGGATAATTGTTTACTTATTGAATCTTATTAAGATGATATTATCAAGATAATGAATAATGCGTACATTTAGTAAAAAATGTTGACTTTAATGTTTGACTGTGATGGGTATTTGAGATGTAAAATTTCACCTAAGGTTGTGCAATTAAAGACTTGTTTGGACCACATTGACCTGGTTATTTTGTCTTTTAACCAGTAATTGGACATTAATTAGATGTTCCTGGTCAGGCCTCTGTCGTCAGTGTATTTCATTAAATCATTTGTTAATGCGCAGAACTAGATATATTTATACCTAATATTAATGGTCAGACCATCATTTCTGTAGCATTTCTCTACATATTCAGACCATGATAAAAATAATGCTTTATTAACCTTGTCTTCAAGTCCCTCTTGTACTGATTTATGAACCTATGCCCTGCAGACAAATTCTGATCATTTTTCATGCATTATTTCACGGAAAATGGCCATTTGCCACACAAACATCATACTCTTGAATAACAAATTGTGAAAAGGAATACATTTTACTCTTTCTTAGGCAGGTATTGGACACTGTTAAAGTTACAAACCAATAACATTGGTCACTGTAAAATTCAAAGTTTGTTTTTCCACACAAACAAAATACTTATTTTGTAATAAAGATTAATTCACCTAGAGATAAAAATATAAATTACAAATTAAAAGTAAAATATTTCTGCTTACAAAACACACTAGACTTAAGGTTGCTCATTCTGAGACTGAATACAGTGATTCCATGAAATTTTGCTTTTTTACTTTCAATTGAGTATCTCATTTGCCCCAACCTTAAATGAGCATGTCCAATTGCTTCTTGTAAGGATTGCATTTGTCCACATTTCTTTTGTGCTATCTGTCAGCCAGTCCATTAAAGGTTGCGTATAAATATAAACATGGACTGTAAAATCTATAAAGAATTCAGATTTCATTATGGCAGTATAATACATCTGTTCAAACCATAATGGATGAAAAAAATACTACAAATGATCAATTAAGATATGGATCATTTAGGGAAAGGGGTACTGTGCAATTGCCTAGGGAAAAAATTGACAAACAAGCATGTAGCTTCAAGCTTATACAAAATAAGATGTCCATTTTGGCAAAAAAATGTCATGAAAACTGACCCAAATTGTTATTCTTTCCAACTGTATAGTTTAAAGAGGGAATGGAAGACTGGAAAATGGTATTTTTGTGTCTAATACAGAGCTGTCAAATTTAGCAAAAACTGATTTAATGTTACTTTTTTGTAAAATTCTGGCAAAATATTATTTAAACATAGTTAAACTGTGTCACAGTATCATGGAGTTTATTCACTCTCGTTTAATCTTTGAAACAAATTTTTATTTGGCTAGGAATCTTTGGAAACATAAAACTTCTTAGTGACCCAAATACATCCAAGTTAGTTTACAAGAGGGGACTTTGAAAGTAAGACTAATTAGATCATTAACACTTCAATTTTGAGGATTGGGAAAATGGACCCTAACTTAGGAGGGCCTGGTGGTAGTTTTGTGAACACTTGAAAATGTCTGTCCTTGGGGAGCGTGTTGAATGCATTTGTGCTAATGTTGTCAGAATGTGACTCCATATGACAGTAACACAAGTATTGGATAACTTTGTTATCACCAGAAAGGTGTCCCATGGGAAAGGCTCCAACAATTTCTAGGAAGACAATTTCACACTTTGGGCAGCCCCTGAGTTGGGTGTTCTATAATATATTTATACACACTGAAGAGCTGCACATGCAGGAGATTGATGGACGTGTATTGAGTTCTATTTTCAGTTCTTGTGTTGAGATCTCATCATCGGGTCACTGTGCTTCTAGATTTGTTTTATAACACTGATTAATAGGAGGCAGCTGAAATACTTCAAAATTCACTTGCTGCACTGCTTTCTCCCCAGCCAAACATAAAAAAATTGCCAGAAAAAACCAGGGTTATATTAATAAAATGAAAATTGCTTTTGAAATGTTTTGGCAGCAGATCAGTTGCAAATATTTTAGTGGGATGAGCATTTTTGAGAATGAGGGGTTAAAAATGAAGTGTGTACATGTATATTACGATTGTATAACACAGGTTGCTGACATAACGAAATTCTTGATCAGTCCCCTAAAAACAGTTGCATCATTGGGCAAGTTTTATTCTTAGAAATACTTGAATTAATCAGAGTTTTTGTTGTTAATTTTAAAGTTGACTGCATTGTTGATGGTTTTGCAATAAAGTAATTTTTCTGTTTGAATGTGACTTTCAGGGGTAGGTACGTGTTGTGTCTTGTTTTTTAGCAGCAGAAGTTGTATAGTTCAAAGGTAAAAATACCTGTTGGACACCTGGTCATAAGACCGGGGGTTGTCAGTTTGAGTGTATTCGTTTAGTCATTAGTTAATCATGTTCTAATTGTCATGGTTAGGTAAACGAACAATATCCACATTCTTTGATGTCACAATTAGGTCGTTGAAGGTGATAGCTTAGAAATGACTCCCCAGACTTTGGGAGCGTGCCCAGTGGAGGTGTATAGAGGGCGCTGTGAGCTGCAGGTGAGTGAATGGTTTTCTTTGGTTTCTGCCTGAAGCTCCCAACACTGTATTGCATGTTTTTATTATCTATAAATGATCACTAGCATTGTCTTTCGCTGACATTGGGAACAACGGGAAAGCTCATAGTTTACTTAGTGTATTGCTATTCAGTGCTGGAGTTCTTTTCTCAGAAGAGTCTGTTTATACAAGCATCCTCTGCAATCTTAGTGGTAACGTTTAGGAGAGTTTTTCCCCCAAAAGTTGTAAGTAAAAAAATATGTGTTCATATTGAAGTAAATAAATGTGATGTTTATGCCTCCAGAACTTGTTAATTAATCACACTTTTGGATACTAGCTGTTCTGGTACGTTTTCTGTGCGGCTGTTTGTTTTCTCAGTCTTTAACCCTGTGGTCGCTGCCATTCATTCTCGATTCGGCTAGTTATTTCCCCTTGTTGGATATGATAATGTCAAAGTGTCAAGGTCATACCAAAGCTTCCCCCTAACCAAACAGGGGTACTTGATCAATGGTACAATGTAGAGTGATTGTCTTTGGCTGCCAACCTGCCTTGTATTTGTGTGTACACATTCTGTAAACAGTGAACACAGAATGCTGCAGGTCTGTATACAATCAAAGATAAAGAAGCTTCTCTCTCAGTAGTGGCAGAGGAAGCGAGATGTTTCATAACATCCTATCTTTAGTGTTTATATAAATGTCTGGTGAGATTTATGTTTCCATAAGACAACAGGTAAATCTGCCAGTGCTTGTATCAGGACTCATGTTGAGTCATTTTGTTAAGTGAAACTACGATTTAACCTTTTTGCACTCCTCATGCAAAGATTTTTTGTATTGAAATCAATATTAGACTTATAACTTTTACTGAGAGAAAAAGTGAAATCATTGGAAATGCTAGATGAACAGAATATATGATGTCTGTAGAATGTACCAATGCGTGGATTTTTACCATCACATGAAATGTCAGTCACCTTAGTTATTGTAATAAAGAAGCATTTAGAGTTATTTACCTTTTGAGCAGCTTTTGATTTGTCTATTAAAATGAGAGTGTTTTTAACTTTTCAGGGTTAGCTCTGATTCAAATCAAGTTAATCTATCTTAATCCCTGTGCTATTCTCAGCACACTTTAAGTATAACATTTTGAGAATGCCGGGGAAATAAGTTTTGTTTTCTCTCGGTCATTGGTTTATAATGTGCTAATTTATCTGATTGCTGGTGGCTTAAGTATTAGTCCCGGGCTGACAATAAATAGCTTAATTATGATTCGATAACCAAATATTATGTTTGTTACACGGTATGTAGGAAGCAATGTCTTTGATTCGGGCAGAAGCATCGTGATTTCCATCTTTTATGTATGCCAGATAAAAACTGTGTGTGGGCGTTATAGGACCAGAAATGTAAAATATAGCTGTTGTCCTATTGATCTAATGTTGATACACAACAATGTAACAAATTTTGACTGATTTAATTCTGTTAGGTGCACTGGTACTTGTTTTAGACTCTCCTGTACAATACATGTTAACATTTGTTTGAAGTTCTATAACGAAATAATGATATTATCCACGTTGAAAAATTGTGTTTCGATTCAATTTTGTTTTCAAGTTTGTTAAAAATGTTCAATTTTTATCCTCTTGATACTGTGGAAAATTTCAAAATGATTGTACTGTTCTCAGGAAGATAAGAGATGCTAAAATAGCAATGATCAGATTAAACTTCATAATGATGAATAATAATAAGGAAACGTTGAACAATAAGGTTCATATATAGTTCCAGTAAATGATTCAGGTTGATCATTTCCTAATTCATAATGGTCGTTAATTAATCAGGTTACCAAGTTATGGAATTAAACATCAAACACGATACATATATTGTCAACCTCTCTTTGGTAGATATTGCTGAGTCGATGTGTTCATATAACCTTGTAATGAAAAAAATTGAGGGCTTGTTAGTTCTTCTTTTCATTATTTACTGTACAGACTTCAAGATCTAATAAGCCGAACAAACAATTGTTGTCAGTAATGATGAAAGTTAAAAACTTTTTCAACAAAATAACTGTGCCAGGGGTTTTGTCATAAAATGTCAGCAGTATTTGATGCCATATTTTATGAGAAGAAGTCTGAAGGTTAGATCATTAGCTCCTAACATTTGAATTTTTTAGGTCTTGATCACTACAATTAAAATTGATTGGTTCTGATAAAGTACAAGAAGGAAAATGAACAGAGATATTAAGGTAGATAGTTCATGTTTTAGAACTTAGATAGTGTAACTGTTACGTGATGAAAGGCAGAATGCAGCCTTACTAAGGTTTCTGTACAAAAGGGTCACTATGTTTCAAATGTACAACTTTCCTAAAAAGGGACATAAATAAGATAATTATACCCCCCGCAAACAAAGTTTGGGGGGGTATATAGGAATCACCTTGTCCGTCTGTCTGTCTGTCCGTCTGTCTAGCTGTCCGTCTGTTTGTGCAATCGTGTCCGGTCCATATCTTTCTTACAGAGGGACATTAGAATCTACTACTCCACACAAAGATTGCCCATGACCTAAGAGTGTGTCATGTCAGGTTTGGGGGAACTTCAAGGTCACTGGAAGGAAAATTTCATAATTCGTGTCCGGTCCATGTCTTTCTTATGAATAAACTTGGTAGGTTCTCATTTCAAACAAAGATTTCCCATGACCCAAGGGTGTGTCATGACCTTGACCCAAGGTCATTTGGGGAAGTTCAAGGTCACTGGAAGAAAAATTTCATAATTCGTGTTTGGTCCATATCTTTCTTATGGATTAACTTGGTAGGTTCTCATTTCACACAAAGATTGCCCATGACCTAAAGGTGTGTCATGACCATGACCCAAGGTCATTTTGGGAAGTTCAAGGTCATTGGAATTTGGAAGCAAAATTCATAATTTGTGTCCGGTCCATATCTTTCTTATGGATAAACTTGGTAGGTTCTCATTTCACACAAAGACTGCCCATGACCCAAGAGTGTGTCATGACCTTGACCCAAGGTCATTTGGGGAACTTCAAGGTCACTGGAAGAAAAAAATTCATAATTCTTCTCCTGTCGATATCTTTCTTAGGGATAAACTTGGTAGGTTCTCATTTCAAACAAAGATTGCCCATGACCAAAGGGTGTGTCATGACCTTGACCCAAGGTTATTTGGGGAAGTTCAAGGTCACTGGAAGAAAAATTTCATAATTCGTGTCCTGTCCATATCTTTCTTATGGATTAACTTGGTAGGTTCTCATTTCACACAAAGATTGCCCATGACCTAAGGGTGTGTCATGACCATGACCCAAGGTCATTTTGGGAAGTTCAAGGTCATTGGAATTTGGAAGCAAAATTCATAATTTGTGTCCGGTCCATATGTTTCTTATGGATAAACTTGGTAGGTTCTCATTTCACACAAAGACTGCCCATGACCCAAGGGTGTGTCATGACCTTGACCCAAGGTCATTTGGGGAAGTTCAAGGTCACTGGAAGAAAAAATTCATAATTCTTCTCCTGTCGATATCTTTCTTAGGGATAAACTTGGTAGGTTGTCATTTCACACAAAGATTGCCCATGACCCAAGGTGTGTCGTGACCCTGACCCAAGGTCATTTGGGGAACTTCAAGGTCACTGGAAGAAAAATTCATAATTCATGTTTGATACATATCTTTATTATGGAAAAACTTGCTTCTGAAAAACCCAGCGGGGGTTATTTTGTCCCGTTTGGACAGTTCTAGTTTCATCAGTTTCACTCAAAAACTGCACCTCAACCCGAATGGGACCAAGAAAAAACAATGAAGACATCTCTCAGGTGATACCTAGTTTAAAATATATGTTAATTGTAGTTTAACTTGGGACTCCTATATCATTTTGATATGTATATGGTGTTTTTGAATCCGAGTTCCATTTTGACAGACTTGCATAAGGTTAGAGGACTGCTTGTTGATTATGAAAAAAAAAATTCAACAAATACTGTATTTTTGTTCAAGGAATGTAGAATTGATAAAGCACAAAAGGGATTTTAAAGAAATGTGCTTTTGATTAGAATATTAATATGTCCATTTTTACATAAACAAATGTAGAAGTGGTATTGTCAATCATAATTATTTGGCACATGCAGAAACTATGATTTATAGTGTAAAGTCACACGTAAGCCACTTTTAAAATAATATTTGTTTAATTTCCAGACTCAGGATAAAAAGATTGGGTCAGTAGCTAGATGGAAAATTTTTTTCCTGAAAAATTTCAAAAACTATGCTGAATTCATAAAATTTATTTTCCGGACTGTAGAAAAAATAAGTATTTCCTGGATATTAATAAAAGTTCTGAGTCATTAGCCAGTAGTCGGGAGAGGGCAACCAAACAGTTTTTTCAAAAATGGCCCTATTTTTTTTTTTTTGGCTCAGCAACATACAATCATATTTGTGAACAGCACCAGGAAAAAAAGCAACTTTAAACTTATTGGGCTGTTTGGTTGTGGATCAGGTCACTCACCGCTGGGCCTGATTAGCACATTGATTATTCTGACTTTGAAAAGTGTCATCCAACATGACTTCTGGGTATATACCAGTATCAATTAAAGTTGTAACTCTGCAGGAGAGGGGTGGGGAAGAAGATAAACTAGCTCCACAGATCAATACAGTTATTGTTTTATTATACAGAAACGCTCCGATGATTGTCAAAGTGGGCCAAGTTACCTAACATTTAGCCAAATGCATTTTTAAAGCTGTAATTTGTACTTTTTTTTGCACTTTTTTTTTTTATCCCTTTTTTCTCATTTAAAGAAATAAAAATCATTTACTTAAAAGAGAGTTCCAAATTTGACTGTTGTATATAAACTCAGTATTTATAGAAATACAACATTAAAAAGACCATAAATGGCCCAAAATGTACTGAGTAATTCAGATGGGAAAATTCTGTATCATTCCAATCAAATTTTTCTCGCAGATATTTGTTATGTGGAAGCTCCATTGTCGTGAAGATCATGTATATTCTTAAGTTTCCATTGCGCAATAAAATTTACTGTTTTAATGCAACTTTTTTGCTTAATAAATACAAGTAAACAAAATTAAGAAGTTATAGGTATAAAAATGTAATTACAATTTGATATAACTGATTTTTTAACCGATTTTGCAATTGATAGGTAGGTTGACGTCGTTGCAGTGTGTTTTTGACATTATGATAATCTGTAGCTCTTAAAGAAAGCGGTAATAAAAATATTATTAAAGAAAAAGTAATAAACAGACGCTCTTGAAATTTCAAAAATAGAAATTTGAGAATATCTCCAATATTTTTTTGTGTTTTCATGTGAATCCATTGTGTACATCATGTTTAGTAATACTCTATAAAAATAGTAAAATTTGCTAATTTTTTTCATTTTGAGATGTCCCCTCTGGTAACAAGGCGGTAGAATTTTGTGTTTCTTACATATATTGTATAATATAGTATTACTCATCAAATACTATAGTTTGAACAAAATGTCTATTGTAGTATTTGTATAATTTGCTTTCAAATGCTAAAATTTGGCATTTTCCAATATAATCCTATAGTAAATGTACCTGTATTTTGAGACGGTCCCTCAAAAATACCTGATAATCATTTGAAGAAAAAACAGGAAATAGAAAAAACAAACCTTAGATAAGTAACTTTGTATTTTTTAAGTAGCTTTGTATTTCTTTGTAGGGTCTGTATAATCAAGGTGTCTGAACAATCACTGGAATAAAACACCATGTTTTGAGAATCTTCTTGGAGGCATGGCATTTGAAGAAAGCAAAAGTCGCATACATTGAATATCAGGACAGATAACTCTGTCACGTCACATGATCTCAGCTCTCAGCTAGGTAAGTTTATCTGATGCTTTCTCTTTTTCCAAGTTACTTCCTGTTAGAACTTTTTTAATTTGATAATAATTAAGGATGATATCAATGTGATACATATTTTGTATGCATAAATTTTTGCAGATTATTTTTTTTGTTGCTGCACATTAACAATAAATTGACCAGTGATAAGTTTTGCTGGCTACATATTGAGTGTTATGACAGAATAGAGAAATGAACTAAAGAGGAAAATACTTTCATCTTTGGTTTCATCTAGGTGATATTTGAGATCAAACTAATCAGTGATGATACTAAAAGTCAGGGGATGATGCCAAGTCAGGCTTTCATCAGGCTAAATGTTGTGCTGTTCCCAAGTTTTTGATTTTAGTAAATTAGCAGCTCATCTAGTTTTAGATGGAATTTCACAATCAAGGCATATTGATCTGCATGAAGCTGGCATGTATTGCAATCACTCTGTGGGTGTTACGCAATCGCAAGCCAGCCAGCCCCTGGAAAAAAGGTGTGGAGCCATTCTACAGGACTATTAGCCCTTTATGAGATTAAATGTCGAAAACAAAATAGCAATCATATTTCCTGAGAATTCCCCATCAGATACAAATGATATTAGGTCAGAAAAGAGGAAGATGAGAGCTATTAAACCTGTTTACATTTTCTTGTTTTCTGTCAATGTGTTTTTGTTGTTTTCACCTGTTTTTTGAAGGGAAATTAATGAATCAACTCAGGTGTTAGAAGTTCACATTAAGTACTGTTTATGTGCAAACCTAGATCACACTCTGATCACATGGCATGTTAAAGTGTGCTATAGCCAGCCACATTTATTAAGCCTGGTCATGAAATGGTCAAGCTTTCTAGATGAAGGAAATGGCAATGAAAGGTTGCAATTTACTATTTAAAAAAAAAAAATACATTTTTATTATAAATTTTGATTAAAAAGATTTATTGAAAAGAAAAATGTCACAAATGGTAGTTTGCATTAGTGAAATAAAATTCCATATAAGAATCATACTAAAGGGTCCTCTCTGGGTATTTGTTTTATTTGACAATATATATATTTTCATTCCCTCTTGGACAAATCTCATGCCACCCATTAGATGATGTTGAAATATGCATAACATAGACTAAAATGCTCCAAAAATAGATCAGATATGGATATAAAAAGGCTTGAAATTCACACGGCAGTTCCTGAGAGATATTTTGTGGTGTCACTTAATAGAGAAATAGCCGTCAGGGATCGCAGCAATGTCCTTTCAATGAAACTCCTCAAGGTAATAGCGGCATAAAAAAGATCAATGAGCGACAATCAGGAAACGTCTTCTTTTTTGGTCATTGGATGGTACTACCGTGTATGACTGGTCTGACAATGGACGCTCAGTATTGCCAAGTGATTTTATGGCCAGGTATAGAGCAACAATCTTATTTTATGGACAGATTTGATTGTCGGTGACATGTTCTTACAGATGTGAAAAACGCTTCATTAGAGAGTTACAAATCTGTTGTACTTAAACTGTTGAAACAAAACTCAGGTGATCATTCACAAACCAGTTTGCAGTTTACTTTCATGTAACGGAAACAAAGTTTGCCACTGAATTTATAATACCGTATATGTACATATGAAAGTACATGTATGTTTTTTTGCAGTTGCGTATGGATCCTCACTAGATAGCCAGAGTCACAAAAATGAAGTTAATAAATAAAGCCCTTTTAATTCAAATTTTTACCTATAGCTTTTTTGATTGTACACCACAGCTGTCTACAAAATATACGGTGGCAGATTTAAAGGGGGCCCAACCAGCATGCGCCCGGCCTAAAATTATCAAAAGTTAGCATAAAACAGTTTCGTCAAGAAAACGTAAAAAATGTCTACTCGGTAGACCTCATTTTTACCCTAAAAAAAAAATTCTCTAATATCCAGGGGCTTCGCCCCCTGGGCTCCTACCGTGGACCCACTAGGGGTCTCAAGCATCCCCCAGACCCACTGCCTACTTCTCGCGCCCCCCCCCCCCCCCCTTAACTTCAATTCCTGGATCCGCGCCTGTATATCGATATAGGTTACTAAGAGAACAGGGTATCTAAGTGATAGGACAGAGGCCATTTGGTTCGAGACTCTCTTATTAAGGATTCTGAAATTTAGTGAGAATGGACTATCAAATTTGACCCTGTCTGTTTACTGCAAATCAGTGGATACCTCAAAGTCAGCGGCATGTCAGATTGAGCTATTAACAACCTTCCATTGTGTGCCTCAGGTTCCTCAAAAAATTCTGACAGCGGTTACGTTTAGTAATTACAATTAAGGAGTCATACACTGAATCAGAAATCGCCCATATTTCACAAGATTAAATACAAAGTTGATTGCAAGTCAATATGTGGACTTTCATAACTTTTTACATCCAGGGATAATTATTCAAAACATTAACAGTAGCCAAGGGTTAGTTAGGGGAGGCCAAAGTTTGACAGCTAACTAGTTTAGAGGTGGAGGAAGTCAGAGGTATAAATATAAAATTTACGCAGTTAAATGTTATTGAATATTCATTAGGATTCTGGCTCCGTTTTAGGAAGGATGTGATGAATTTATTTACCACAGATTCTGGGTGCCCGTTTAATCACAGACAGATTTAGTGCAGTACAGAGAAGTGCAGAGGGAATTGATTCCGAGTCATGGGAGATGCCAGCTTTTTTATCAAGAATTTAAATAAGAGTAAATACCTTTTATCATCGCAACTAAGTCTGTGATAGAAGGTCAATCGATCAATTTATCACCCAAACGATGAAATTCTTAATTAAATCATTATCAGGCTCTCTGGCAATGAGAAGGCAAATTTTATATGACGGCACAAAAAAATCATAATTGCCATTAAAACATCGTCAAGATAATGTTTAATAGGTGTTGTTTGTGTAACCTGCGGAATACACATGAAGCACTGCAAGTCTTTTGATACCATCAGCATAGATAAAGCCAATCGATTTTGTTCTTGCTAGCTGTTTTTTAATCAAAGCTGTGCTTTGGAAGAATTAAGTTGCGGTATAGAGCCCAAAGCAGTTTGTGTAGCAGGCCAGATCGCCCTGACAAAATGTTCTGATTGATTTTAGTACCCAGCTAATTTGACAAAGCTTTGATATTCTTAAAAGCTCAATTTGAAATGCTTGATCACCCTAGATATTGTTTGTGTTTGGTTGTGGAAACTGGGCTGTGATTAATGCAGTTTGTGGATTGATCTTGCCTAACTTCACTGGAGTTTCTGATCAATCCCAATTTCGTTCAGTAACAACATTACAGTTGGACACACTTTCTACCCTGAATTCTTTTTGAAGTACAAAATGGTCTTTTATTATTATTAAAACCAATTCAAGATCAATATCTAATTTAATTCCTTCACACACATACTGGAACACACAACACAAGATGCTGCAATGCATGGTGGCTTAGTTAAGGATTAGCAATGATGGCAAAGTACTGACATTAAGGCTAAAAAAAGGAGAAGGGGTCAAGTTATGTAGGAGAAAGGGGAGAATATGTACTACTAAGTAAAGATGGCATACTGTACTGTCAAGGGTTTCTATGCTTATAAAATATTGTTGCCATATATCCAAATGAATGAAAGACAGAGCCATTAATTAATCTAAAAGGAGGGATCATAGATAGCAAAGTAAAATGCTTTGTTTACCCTCTATACATAAAGTTTTAACCTTGACCTTTGACCCCAAGAATTGGTTGAAGGTTGGAGCACATTGTTCTATCCATTGCCCGTTGTCAATCTATGGGTGAAGTTTGAGTCTGATTGGACCAAAGAGAGAGAAAATATTCTCTGGACAAATAAGTTGGACTGACAGACAAATTTCAACATGGCACACATAGAGCTGGCTCAAATAATTTGAAGCTTCGAATGTCTCATTTAAAATGAGTTTTTACAAGCCATGACAAGTTAAACCTTTTAAATAAGATAGTCTTGTTCAGATTGAGATGTTCCAAGCTATTAAATACTGAACCATCGGCAAGACTAGTGCTTCATCTACTAGCACTGGAAATATATTAATGTACGCAATGAACCTTGATTACTGGTATATAAAACTTATTATCTAGGTGAGGTATCTGAGTATTATGTAAATTATATTATCAAGGACCTTATTAATTGTGACATAACGTCTAGGAGTTACTCAGGATGATGCTCTGGACTGAATGGTGCTGATGCTGAGCTGTCCACTCGCTGAAGTTATTTCCTTGTGTCTGGATTCAGGAACAAAGTCTCTGCTCTGTTTCCCTGAAGTATAAATGAGACTGTTTTTAATTAAAGAAAAGAAATTTACCAGTAAATGCAATAAATATGTCAAAATGTATGGCAGAAAATTTATAAAAAGTTGACATTCTTTATGACAGAACTTAGTGAAGTTGAAGAAATACACTTTTTAAAAAGGTAGAGAATGTGAGTCCAACAGAGAGTCCAAGACACACACAGGTCTGTTATCTAAAACAAACATTAAATAAAAAACCCAATGTAAACAGTTTCCCTCTCCATGGTATTTTTTGCTAGTCTAGATAAATATCTCTTTCTCTCCCACACAAATCATTAATGCTGGCAGGGGTACCTAACACTTTAGATGTACTTTACTGGTCTAGGGCCAACAGAAAAGCTTTGGAGTGAAGGTTTGGCATGCAATGAGGCTGTATGAGGACCCGCTATTTCTTTGAATGTCAGCTGATAGAACTCTGATGAGTTGTGTAGGAGGATGCCATATCGGTAATCCTGATGTTCATAGCAATACTGGGCTTTATTCCGGTTAACAGCGTACTATAAATATATTTACTAAGTATTGAGAAATTGTTTCAAATTTTTTAACTAGACAAGCCAATTTTAGCTTTATGGAACTTCTGGGTTTTTGACTTGAGATTAGTCTTGGCTTTTAATTGTTGAGTTTTATAAAGTTACATTGATATTTATTTTAGCCTTTAATGGAATCAAATTATTCTTATTTACCAAAAAATAAAGAGAGTGTTTCTGCCTGTACAG